AGGGACCTGAATAACTACTCTACCTTGGCCCAGTAATTGCAATCAGGAATGAATCCAGGATCTGAGGGGCCTGCAGTTTAGGTTGTTGGATAGAGAAGGGGAGCCTTAAGAACAAAGAATATACAAATAATTTTGGCAAATTTTGTAAGCACACTGCTAGGCCTCCTCCTAGGGCCTTGGAAGGAGACCATGCAAATAAGGGGCCCAGAGCCTTCCTTCGCTAACCTCAAGGAAAGCTTGGAAACAATCTATAGAACAAATATGTCTCAGTTGCTGTATCTGAAAGTAAAATCTTTTCTAATTTTTTAGAAAACTTAGTGTAATCTTGATAAAATTTGGGGCTTGTAGCATGGTACCACTTCAAATACTCCTGTGATATGATCTGATTAACCTGAAGTCAATGTGGATATTCACATGATAACAGCCATAAATATATTAAGAGCATATCAATCTTATAACTACATAATGCCTGTCGTCTACTGACTTGAACATTTCACAATAATCACTTTACAAAATACTGAATGTCACTACATTAAGATGAAAGAGATTAAATTTCATCATTTATTATTTCATGAGTAGGTAAACTGAGAAACTCATTGAAGAATCTTCATTAATATTCACTGTAACTTCTCTACTGACCATGAGACTGGTAATCTAGAAATTTTTAATAATTTTTAACAGAAGAGCCCTGAAAACAGGGAGATAGCATAAATACTTCAGCCAATAGTTTATATGAAATAGAAAATCTATAACTCTGACATGACTATGCAAAATGTATAATGTATTGAGGTGAGGAAAGGATATTATCCTTTCATCTTTAACTATGAAACGATTTATCATTTTCAAAAACTAAAAAGTAAATAAATATTTTGCAATTTTACTTCTATTCATTTAAATCTGCCCTAGTCCAAAAGTACACAGAGTAACATATCTTAGAGCTCCTATTTAATTAAAGAAGAAAAACACTTGAAACACTGGAGTCTAAAAATACTGATATTATTAATCAGTATATATCCCTTCCTCCTATCTACTGGAACTTCCTACTTATCCCTGTTTGGTCCTGAAGTGTCACCTCACCTTTATTCTTTACTACATTAATGTCAGATAGACATATAAGCTTGTTTCTTTCTTTTTTTTCCATATAAGCTTGTTTCTGAGAAATGTATGTGGTAAATAGCATTGTAAAAATGATGTAAAAAGGTGGGGAGGGTCTAGACAACATCAGATGATTCTATCTGTGATAAAGAAAAAGGCTGAAGTCCTGTGTTTATAGACTGTGGTTTGGAATACTATGACTTGGCCACAGGAATGCAAGCCATGAAAAGCATACAGCAGACCAGAGGACTTGGCACACTGCTATGGCTGAGCCAATAACCTCTATATAAATCATCAGATGCATACACTCAACTGGGTCAAGTTTACCTTCATGTAAAGAACTGCCTCCATGTGAATCAACCACATTCAAACAGAGAAAGGAAAGGTATTTACTAGATTATACAAAATGTCTGAGTCAAAAATATTTTTATAGCCTATAACATCATATCCACCACACACACACATACATATATTACATCTAGCAGTGAGAATCCTTCCTTGGAAATTTCTTTCTATAATGAATATTCCAAGTTATGAAAAGATCTGAAATTCCAAACATTATCCGTGCTCAGAAGTTGGAACCCAGTGTATCTGCTTGCCCTAAAATTCTTCTCCAGTGCTGTTTGTCTCTTAATTATGCCAAGGGGAGTTCTTATATAAATTTGTGTAATTTTTTTTGCTGTGAACATCAGCAACTCTCTCTTAAACTGCACTGAAAAATACTAGGGAGTTGCACCCTTTGTGTCACTTACTAAACTTCCTCAATAAAGCTACCAAAAGCTTTCTGAGGTGGAATTTTATACTTGCAAATGTCAATTCAGATCTGTTAGATACAGTGAATAAACTTGCCTGCTACAGCAAGCATTCCACCCAAATTGACTAGGTGTGGCTTTTTTTTTTCATTGTCCAGTCACATTGAACAGAATCTGTTCTCTGGTTACATCTAGGTTGTCATTCCCTTTATCTGTGGGCTTGTAATAAGCAAACCGTACTCAATTTTCCAAAAGCAGACATTCTCTTCCGGTATCCTAGAAACAGATCAAAGTGTGGTTTGTGGGAAGACATAAGGTTCAAGGCAGTGATACCAATGGGTCTTAATATGCAGCCAGAAAAACAATAGGACTGGAAATTTAAACATGAGCTTGAATATTTTAGGGAAAAGAATCAGATGATCAGAGCAGGAGGGATATATGCAGTTAGAAGGGAGAGACAGTTGTTTAGGGAGAGTAGGTACCAAAGAAACGAAGTAAAATTATACGTTACTTCCATAGTAAAATCAAGATCCATAATAAAGAACATTTCTTTCAAGTCAGACTGGTAAATGTCACTTAAAGTTGCTCACACTAGCTCAATGACAACATGCCCACAAGGCAGCTTTCTAGACCACAAAAGAGGATCATATCAACCATCTCGAGGTTAGCTTTTTGTACACATAATAACTGCAGAAATTAATCTTTTATCAGTTTATCACATCATAATAGCTATTGTTAAATAATCTACAAGGTAGAAAAGCAATTTCCAATTGTTCCCTGGAGTCTTTTAAGTAATGTCTCGTGTCTTGTGCTATGCTACAAAATAAACAGTACTCCTGTGAGTCATAACAGTCATATTCTGCAGCCTGAAATTACCCTCATTGAAGAAAAAAGGGAAATGTATTCTATTATAGAAAGCATGGAGAATCAAATTAGAAAGCACAAGAGGCTGAAAAACTCAATGAATCTCTCACTGGACTCCAAAAAAGTCACTCCCTGATCAATAATGCATGAAGGGTTGAGACTTGGCATGGAGGCACTCGACGGGAGGCTCAACAGAAGATGAATAGTCTGCCTTCTGTCTTTACCCCTATTTTACCCCAGGCCCTTGGCTCTCTGATTCCCTGAAATAGGGCAGTTGATTGATGTCCCTTGACCTTTGAAAAAATATAGGCTCCAGCTGCATAGGAAATGCTGGGCTCAGGTGTGTGATAAAATCTGGCTCCTATTCTTTGCTCAGTCTGAAAATGGGACATCCCACAAGAGGCCGAGAGCGGTAACGGTGGGTAAAAGGTTCCCTTGCTTTACTCCCCATCTACTCACATTTTCTGGACTCACCAAGCATATTCATTTCTCTGTGGCTTTATTTATACTATTCTCAGTATCTAGAACACTTTCTCTTCCCTATCCCTTCAAAACCAAGAACAAACTGAAATACTTCAGTGTTTGAAAGCTAAGGATAGAGTTTGGAGGAGTTCAACCATATAAAGTATTACTAAAGGTCAAAGAGGAACTCCAGGGAACTCACTGGTGACATTCTGGGAACGAATTTATCAATGTAATTAATCAGCACTGAGTTCCAAGGCAAGTATTTTTGGCAAAGGAGTAAACACATGAAATCTATTTATTTTACTTAAAATTTTCTAGACATTCTGGAAAGAGTATCATGGAACAAAATTTTAGTGACTTGTCAATGCCCCTAGGACCTGTTTTTTGCATTATTCATAAAGATGTACCAATTAAGGGGTGCCCTATCTACACAGATGTCCTTGAACTCTGAGAAACAACTTTGTAATGAGATAGGTTTTGCTGAGAGCAGGCTGACCTACTCCCACACTTTGCTTATATCTAAATATTACATACATCTTTCAGTTCTCAGTGTGTTCATTATATAGTAGCCACCAATGAAATGGGTGACAAATAAAGATAACACAACCCTTTCCAAGTACTAGCCTGATAATGGTTTAAAGGAAGTAGGCCAGCTGGAATTAGAATGAGACACCATGGAACTAAATATGAGACCTGGAAGAACTCAGTAGACAGGGACAGTTTTCAATTCCACCTCAAACAGTCCAAGGCCAAACTGCAACTGTATATTTTAAGGTATTAAGACAAGATGAATTCTCTGTAGGACACTTAAATCACTTTTTAAGTGATCCATTTAAACTCAATGATCCAAACAAATACTAGACGTTGGTCTAGAATGACACCAAAATATTAATTTCACCAAAGGGAAACTCTGTGGCTAGGTTAAGTTAAAACCCCCATCAAACACCTGGCCAGTATCCCTCAAGACTGTTAAGGTCATGGGAAACAGAAAGACTGAAACAATCACAGACCAGAAGAGAGAGCACAGATAGGATTCAAATACACTGATACCCTGCACTGGCCACTGTAACAGAACGAGCACACTAGTGAATAATCTGGTGAAGTCTGAAGAAAGTCTGGAGTTTAGTTCATAGTAATGTGTAGATGTCAGTTCCTTAGTTTTGACAAATACACAATGCATATAAGATGTTAAAAGTAGGAAAAACCAGATGATGGGTAATATGGTAAGTTTCAGCACTATCTTTGCAACTTTCCTTTAAATCTGAAATTATTTTAAAGTGAAAAATCTATTTAAAAGTAACAACAGAACTATCAAAGAGCAAGGAAATTTATCTGAATTAATATCCTAAATTAAAAGGTTTCTATGTCATAATAATCAAACCTCCTCTCTTCTTAAAATGTCCCTGGCTCCTTTTATTAGTATTCTTCTATGAATTACATTTTTTGATTTATTAATTTGCTGTATTGGGTCTTAGTTGTGGCACTCAAGATCTTCAACTGTGGCATGTAGGATCTAGTTCCCTGAACCAGGGATAGAACCCGGGCCCCCTGCATTGGGAGTGTGAAGTCCTAGCCACTAGAACATGAGGGAAGTCCCTATAAGCTACATTCTTGGTTCCTGCAACCCACTGTTTAAATCTAACACACCTGGTTGCTCCCTTCACATGCATAACATCTTTGGAGTGTTAATTAACATATTAGCTCGCATCCTCAATCCTTCGGTGACAACTTCCTAAAGTCCTTGCCAGGTTATTCCAGTGTAGATATGCACCCTTAGAAAAGGACATACATATGCAATTTTGAAAAAGCAGAGCTGTGACTTACAACTGGTGGCATCTGAGCATTCTGGAACATAAACTGCATCTGCTGGGCGAACATAGCGGCGGCACTCTTTTGTTGAATCAGATTGTTCCGTCCATTAATTTCCAGCTGCGTTTTCAAATGTGGAGGAGGGTGAAGGTACTTGCAGTTCTCTCTGGCACACCGGCCCTAAAAATGAAGGATTTTATGAATTGACATTAATATATTAAAAAATCTGGTGTGGCTAAGAAAATAAAAGTTTCTTAATCTCTTAGCATGTGGGATGAACTGTTTAAGTACTTTATGTGAATTAATGTATTCAGTCTTGATACACACCCCCTAAGACTGATAATCTCATCATTTTTATCTTCCAGATGAGGAAATAAAGAGGAGTTGCACAGCTAACAAGTGACAAAACCAGAACTAAAACCTAGTTAGTCTGACTCCAGAACTCATTCTGGTAGCCACCTTGTTCTGCCCCACTTTAGTATGCATCAACTTACATTTAAAATATAAAACATCAGGGATAGTATATAATCATAACATTACAGATGTAAATAAAAATTTCCCAACATGAGACATAAAATTAAATATGATCTAGGATGTGGCTCTACATGTGTAATCAGGAAAAATAAGGAAAAATGTTAAATATATACACATAAATGTATCTTCTAACTTTTAGATCCATTATTCTGGACAATTTTGGCTCTAAAGTTCTTTTTCCTGAATCCATATAATGTGAGAAACTTCTTGAAATCCACTGATCTTTTGTTAACTCAAGAATAAATCTCTTCTACCTCACAGTTATGCTGCTCTTTAGATTCTAGAGGGAATGGCCCTGGATCATTTGGATAACTGACACCCAAGTATATTTGGGAGTGGCAGGTATTTGAATGTTTTAGAGATGGTTTAAGCACTTCCAGACAGGATCATATGGCAGTCCTGTGGAACAAAACATGTTTTTGGTGTTACCTAAATGCTGATATGGCTGCTAATTATGGTGTTTACATAATTATGGTGTGGTAGCAAAGGATGTTAGTGACCAGGTATTTATCACATTGTCAAATGTGTTATGTTGTGTTTGTTTAACTCAAGTACTGTACAAAGCAGCTAATGATGATCCAATTTGGGTTATTAAGTCTGCCATAATCCCTTTAAGATAAGCACAACTGCAAGCCATTCTTTTTCCCACAGTTGCTTAGATGCTTTATAGCAGGAGCTTACTTGGAGGGAAGGGTGGAAAAAAAAAAGGCAACTTTTTTTGTACCCAAGAGTGCAAGTTGCTAGGCCACCTGAATTCCTAGGAGAAAATCAGTTAGTTCATCAAGTGTTTTCAACACATGCTATGAATTTTCTGTATTTATGATGCTTGAATGGACTATATTAATCACTCCTTCATATTTAGTTATCTTGTTATTAAAGCACTCTTGTAATTTCACTGGGAACAAGGTGTGGCCCTGAAAATTAGAGTTACCTATAATGTTGGGCTTTCCTTGTGGCTCAGCAGGTCAAGAATCTGCCTGCAATGCAGGAGACCTGGGTTTGATTCCTGGGTTCAGAAGATCCCCTGGAGAAGGTAAAGGCTACCCACTCCAGTATTCCGGCCTGGAGAATTCCATGGACTGTATAGTCCACGGGGTCACAGAGAGTCAGATACTGACTGAGCAACTTTCACTTTCTACAATGCAAAACCAGAAGCATTGCAAATGCTCTTTTAAATATCAGGTCAATGGGATGAGGTGGCTCTTTTACCTCCCCTGGCAGGGAACTGAGTATAAATTAAAACATAGCTTGATAAATCAAGGAAGCCACTATTATTTTCCGTTAGGCTTCTCATTCTGTTTCTCCAATTTATTTTTAATCAAATTATTTATAAAATCAAACAATATCTTAGTTCAATGTACCTTAGAAAAGAAATAATTTGTCGGTAGAGTTGAGGGTGGTATGAACCCAGTCCTACTGAACTCATAAAGGTAGGAACAACCACATAATTTCAGCACATATAAGGACTATACGTGAAGTGAAAGTCGCTCAGTTGTGTCCACCTCTTTGTGACCCCATGGACTATACAGTCCAGGGAATTCTCCAGGCCAAAATACTGGAGTGGGTAGTCATTCCCTTCGCCACGGGATCTTCCTAACCCAGGGATTGAACCCAGGTCTCTCATATTGCAGGCGGATTCCTTACCAGCTGAGCCACCCCAAGGAAATCCTTATATGCACTAAAACTGGGGGTAATGGAAGTCCCCCCTCCTCTATTAACATGTCCCCCTAAGAGAAGATGTTAATTCTCTTTACATCTACTGCAAGGCAAAGATAGTCACAATGATCTCAGTCCGTAGATTCTTTACCCAGCATAACTGGGATTATCTGGGTCAAAATGAACAGCTCAGGAGAACTGGTGGCACTTGGAGCCTCTTCCACAGCCAAGCATGGCAGTTTGATACTTGCAGGGTTTCTCTTTCTCCTCCTACTTCCCCAAGGTAGAGTCCTAAATCCTCTGCTCTCCTCTTTAATCTCTCTCCCCTGGAGAAATGAAGTTCAGATAAAGTTTCATCTCTCACTGCAATTGCTCAGATCTTAAATCTCGATCTCTATCTCTGACCTCTCTTCTGAATTTCGGGCCTTTTTTAAAATCACTAACTGCAGTTGCATTTAGAAATCCTGCCCCCTAACCAGGTCTAAATAACATACTCCTGACCTTCCTTCTCCTTAGACTGCCTTTCGTCTTCCTGCCTACTAGCATTTAGGACTATTGCTCCAGTTCCCAGGCTTTGGGATAGCTGCATAGCAGTGCTGAAAAAAGAAACCAGGCTCTTGCTGAGCAGGACTGCCTTAGGATCACAAACCCACCTTGACAGTTTTCCCTGACCAGTGGCAAACACAATCGTAACCGTTTAAACAGGACACAGTCTGTAACCCACCCCAATTAGATGAGGACTGTCTCTTATACTCAGGAATTCAAAACAATAGATCATTTTTTTAAAAGGAAAAGGAATACATTAACTTTCTGCCATTTGTTAACAGTTTATAGAGTTTTAACATCAATTACATTGAATGTAATCAGAGGGGAGAGGAGGCCGGGAGAGAACATGCTATATTTGGCCCATTTCCTGCCAATGTACAGATAAAGGATTGCCACCCGCCTCTGTGCTTTTACATTACTGTCCTTTACTAATAATAAGTTTTCTTAAGCTTTTTCTTGGGAAACTAATGACATTTTTACAAAGCAAACACAGTACACAGAAATAGAAAGAAAAAGAATTACACTTTAAAAATCACATCAAGCTAGGTTATAAAACTAAAGTATGGAATATGAGGCAGCCTAAGATTTAAAAAAAACTTACTCATCTTAGTTATGAGATTGTACTTGATTTATAAAGCATTCTTTTTTGAATGACAGAATCCATAATTTAATTCTATAACAATGCAAATGCACAACAACACTACCTTACAGAGACTGCTGCTTATGTTAAAGAACGCTTATAAAAGAGAAAAAAAAACCCTGCATTTTCAATCAAAACAATAGATGAGACCAAATAATTTAATATCAACGTTATCTGTGGAATACAATATTTCAAAAGAAAGCCAAGCCCCTTAAATTTTTTCAAAACAACTTTAGGACTCAGGGTAATATATTTATATGCACAACACTTGGTAGCAATAAATCTCCTCTGTATTCATTCTTCAAGACGCCCAAACTTAATTATAGGGCAAAATACTTTTATTGGAGTTGGGGAGGGGGTGGCAAACTTTGTTCTTGACATTTGCTAACATTTGCTTTTAGTCCCTATAGGCGATTAAGGATTTCATAAACACGTGTGGATGAGATGGGGTGGAGGCAAAGGATGGATTTGCCCACCACAGTATGTAATCACTTATTGTTTTTCTGTCCTTTGGAAAACCAGTGACTATGAAGTTTCCAGAGGCCAGCTAAGCACTGTGAATGGGCCACAATACTTTATCACACCAGGTCTGTAACAGCCCAGAAACTATCTTGGCAGAAAAATATCACCTGTTGGGTTTCCCAAGCCAAGTCAGTGGTGTCCAAGCCCTCCTTCTAGACCCACAGGTTCAAGAGTTGCCATGTGCTCAGTGCAGACTCACAAAATTAAAGAAATTAGAGTGCAAGCTCATTTAGGCTTGCCTCAGTTTCACGCCTTTTCCATTTCCTTTGGCCTTAGAAACAAATCATTCTCATCAGATCTTTCACTGTGATACTGAGTCAAGAAAATAGCAGAGTGATTTGATAAGAAAGTGATTCTCTGCTGAAATAAGTGTTACTATATCTATGCATCTCCCTGCTCCCCTATTCCATCTACTCTCTTTGAAAAAAGCACCCAAAAAGCAGCAGGGGTAGAAAATGACCAATGAAATTTCTGAAATACATCAGAAAGTTGATGACAGACAAAGGAAAAAGTTGCAGAGCATTCATAAAACCTCCAAAATTCAATCTATTTCCTTTTTCTTACCTTCAGGCTTTTCACAGTACAAAGCCTTCGACTGAAAGAGAAAAGTAGCATTGTAGAGATTCAAATCCCACCTAAGTCTCAGGAGTTTTGAGAATGAGTCTGTCAGAGACTTCCCAGGCACTTGGTGGTAGAAAACTCCTGTGAAATGTACTTTTTTATGTTCATGAGACAAAGCTCTACCATCCATCAGAATAAGAAAAGGACCCCAGGAAGCTGAAAATTACCCTTTGTCAGTCACCAGTATCTTAACAGGAACAGCTGTTTGCAGAATGACTTGCTTCTTCAAATACATTAGGAATTATGGGGGGGGGGGGGGAAACCTCTCAAACACAATAATAACTGGATTACCTTTTCAAAGACATCTCATCGCTCTGCAACACTACCAAGAGTTAAATGTTAAATAAAGCCAACAAATAGGTGATTTGATTTCTATAAGAAAATTATTTCATTTTAATGATCATATATTAAATGAAAAAAACCTCTTGATTATACTGCCCCACTAAAACATACTTACATGCATGGACATGGCTTCTCAGAGGAAGTAACAGTGATTTTAGAATAACATATGATCCGTACTAGGTTGCCTGGTTCCTACAACCATCACGGACCTTTTAAAGGCTAGGAACAATCTGAAACAGCTAAAAGGCAACATCAACATAAACTGAGTATCAGCCAGATATCAACACACTAATGGCAATTTCCCACTTTCTTTCTCTTA